AGCGTCCGTTCTGTGACATCCATCAAACATCCACCTCTGCCTATCCCAGGTCCTTGGTAAGGATACATAAGACAAAAATGCCAAATCCAGTCTGAACATCTGGCTGACTGTGCGATGATCAGTAATAATAATAATGAGAGAGTTGGAAGGGACCTTGGAGGTCTTCTAGTCCAACCCCCTGCTCAGGCAGGAAACCCTAGACCATTTCAGACAAATGGTTGTCCAATCTCTTCTTAAAAACTTCCAGTGTTGGAGCATTCTCAATGGTAGAAGCTGGGCAAGGGGGATTTGATAGAACAACCCATGAAAGAGGGGGGGGGGTTTCTGTCCTATTAATGCAGCTGCAGGGAAATGATATGGGTGGAGGATGAGGTGGGGTCCTGGGTGGCTGTGGCTGTCAGAAAGGGGGGAGGCTGGGAGCAATGAAAGGAAAGGATAAAGGTATTTGGTGTGCTGGTTGGTGTGAAGTTGTGTTTGTCCTGTGGGAAGTGCTGGGTGAGAAAGAAAAGAATCCAGCTGTTTTTGGAAAGGCCCAAATTTTGTGGAAAAGGGTGGTCTTGGCTGGGAAGGGGGGAAACAATGATTAGATTTTTTTATCCCTCTGGGTTTATATATCAGTCAAGGCAGTGAGCGTACTTCATTGTGGGTTGGGGTGGACTTGGAAGGATGGGAGAATGTCAGAAGGGAAAAGTCAAACCATTTTATTAAAAAGATTACAATTAAAAAGATTAAAAAAACTAATACAGACAAAAGAAAAAGATAGAAACTGCAAAAAAGAAAAAACAACATAGTAAAGGAAAAGAAACATATAAAGAAATAACCTCTCTCTTCATCACAAGTACAAACTATTTAAATAACTTATTGCCTTCTTTTAAAATATAACAAATGATCCCATCTTCCCGTTTCCCATCACTTACTTACCCTTTTATGACTTGTGGACTTCAACTCCCAGAATTCCTCAGCCAGAATGGACAGATGGCTATTTTGTTGGCGTGGTAAATAAAGAGTCTAAATGTTGTTTGGAGGAAGGTAGGAAGGAGTGCTTGAGCTCCTGAATGAAAAGTGGGAAATAAATATTTTTATTTTGATCCTCTCAGGTTACTTTCTGGGGAGAAAAAAATAGTTATAACCCAACTGTTATCTAACGAAGTCTGAAAACTGCAACTTAATTTTTATTCTACTGCCCAGACTGGATCAGCCCCACGTGAATTTTGTTACCAAGGGGTTGCAAATCAAAAGATGACATCGTTATCTAGTTTGCATTTCTTAGGCTGCGGTTCAACAGGGTTAACCATTAAGCTGCAGTGAGGAAATGATGGTTGAAGCAGATGCTTTATTGCTCCAGTCTCTCTAATTGATTTATTTTTATTGATTTACTAGACTTTTTTTTAATCTCGTCTTTATAAGTAACTCACGGGGGCAAACATACCTAATACTCCTTCCACTGCCTGTTTTCCCCATAACAACAATCCTGTGAGTAGCTTGGGCTGAGAGGGAGGGAGGGAGGGACTGGCCCAAAGCTATCCAGCTGTCTTTCCTGCCTAAGGCAGGAGTAGAATTCACCGTCTCCGTAATTGGCCCCAAATCACCCAACCATCTTTCCTGCCTAAGGCAGGACTAGAACTCACAGTCTCCTAGTAATTGGCCCAAAGTCACCCAGGCGGATTTCATGCCTAAGGCAGGACTAGAACTCATAGCCTCCTGGTAATTGGCCCAAAGTCACCCAGGCGGCTTTAATCCATAAGGAGGAACAAGAACTCACAGTCTCCTAGTTTCCAGCCTGGCGCCTTAACCACGGCACAAAACTGCTCTAATACAAGGCAAAGAGTACATTTTATTATTAGTCTCCTACATGCTCTCCAGAGCAGATCCTACTCTAAAGTATGTTTCCATTGTATTCTGGGATCCCATCCAGAGTTACAAGGGCACACCCTGGCTTGTGTTTATTAATATTTATTTGGTCTATAAAGTTTCTCCCCCCCCCAATTGTTGGAAATGTCCCTTTCCTTCCTCCTCCAAAGAAGAATCAGCTGTGAGTGTTTTTACGTTCACCCTGGGAAACATAACTTGCTGGCTGGTGTTTTTTTTTATTATCCATATTTCTGAAAATGTAGGAGGGCTGATGGGTGTTCTCATCATGTAGGTTTCCAAGCAGCTGTCCAGAAAATTCTTTGAACCATGTGGTGAATTCAGATCTCATGTTTCTGGGCAAGTGCTAGCTGCATCCTAGTGGATTCTTCCCTTAGAGTTCTCCCACATCATTTTTCTTTCCCCAAACATCCGCAAGAGACTCTGGCTGCAGCTAGGAGTGTAGTTTAGATACAGTGAATTACGTTCAGCCAACATCTGGACCATTTTCACAATCTGATTCCTTCCTATCTGATTCCTCCAACTCAAGAGCTGTTTTTCCTGGCCCTTTTTCTGAAGTTGGGTTTGAACTGCTAGCTAGTTTTGAAGCCAGGGCTATGGGTATGAAAAGACTAATATTAATGGGATTAATACTACGCTGTTGCAGGGGTGTCCAGCCGTGGCAACTTTAAGACTTGTGGACTTCAACTTCCCTTGCTGGGGAATTCTGGAAGTTGAAGTCCACAAGTCTTAAAAGTTGGCCAAAGTTAGACACCCCCTGCCCTATTGCATTATTTCTCAACCCTGGTAGCTTCAAAATAGGTTGGACTTAATTCTGGGAGTTGAAGTCCACCTGTTTTAAAAGTTGCCAGAGTTGAGAAACTTTTTATAATTTCTTGAGTGACATACAGAAAGAGCAAAAGTACTATAGTTTGGTTCAAAGTATCGGACTCGTCTGACTTAAGCCCTTTTGATATGGGAGGCCAAGGTTTCCTACTCAAATACAACATTTGTGGAGCAATAGGAAATCGAACAGATAGCTCCAGTGCTTAAAACTTTTCTGCCAACAATGTTATGGATGATACTGGCCATAACATCTCATAATAATCTAGTGCTCAATTAATTGCCAGTGTTCTTTGATAGTACTTTAGCTCCTGCCTTATGTTAATACATAATGTGTGTTTATGTGATCTGTGAATCCAGCCCGTTGTGGTTTATTTGAGAAGCTGTGTCTAGACTGGAGGTTAGCTTGATACGTGTGCAGTCCCAGCTATATGCAGAGTATTACTTAACCACTGTTTATTTTAATTTGTTAAGGACATTTGGTTTTGCGCCTAGATGTTTGACTTGGATCAATGCAAGTTACATTCCAGAATCTTTCTCAGGCTTGGTCGAAAGGCTCAATTGTTGTATCTAAAAACGCATTATAGATTTTTTTTTCCCCCGTTTAATGGTGTGTGAATCTCAGAGATTGCAGTTTTCTTTGCAAGGTTTTTCAGAGGTGGTTTGCCATTACGTCTTTCCCAGGGTTGAGAGAAAGTGACTGGCCCAAGGTCACCCAGTTGGCTTTGTGCCTAAGACAGAATTGGAACTCACTATCTCCTGGTTTGTAGCCTGGTGCCTTAACCACGACACAAAACTGGTTTTCACCTACAGATTTAGGAGCAGGTAATCTCTCTGTGTTACATTATCCTTCCGTACTCCGGGTTTTGTGTAAAACTGGGACACCTGTTAAGACTGCTGAGTCCTTCGTTTCACAGTTTAAATATGTGTGGCTGTTTCAGTTTTGCAATTTATGTTTCAGCCATAAATTATTGGCTTAATTTTTTTTTCTCTTGTGAACCTGGGTGCCTGTAATTAACACACCACCATCTCTGGCTGTTTTAATAAGCACTTTCTGAATGTTTGGAAAGTGCCAAGAAAGCAATAAATATTATTAATTGATCCTTACCCAACTGGTTAAATCACTAGATATAGTTTGTTTTTTTTCAATATATATAAATCTCCATGTTGCCAGGCACCTTTGTGGCATGCTGGTGTTTTTGTTCTAAAGGGCAGTTTGTGTGACTTAAAAGAGGTTCAGTCTATAATAATGATGATGATGGTTGGAAGGGACCCTGGAGGTCCTCTAGTCCAACCCCCTGCTCAGGCAGGAAACCCTATACCATTTCAGACAAACGGCTGTCCAGTCTCTTCTTCAAAACCTTCCAGTGTTGGAGCATTCACCACTTCTGGAGGCAGGTTGTTCCACTGGTTAATTGTTCTCACTGTCAGGAAGTTTCTCCTTAGTTCCAGGTTGCTTCTCTCCTTGATAAAAGTCTCTCGCTTTTATTTTGAAAACTTTGCTGAGTCTAATGGGATAGAATTGAACAGGAATATAATATTATTATTTTTTATGAGAGTAGAAAATGCAAAGCATTTCCTCTTCTTTCATGCAAGCTCCTGGTTGCATTTCTGCATAGTGATCCTCTGCTTAAAGAACAGAATGTTCCTTGGAAGGGAAGCATGTTCTGGCTGACCTGGGAAATACAGGTAGATCCCGATTCATGGCCACGTAATGGAGCCGCAAAATTTCCATAACCTGAGTGAGACAGTTTTGCCCCGTTTTGCAATTTTCCTTGCCATATTTGTTAAGTGAACCACTGAAGTTGTTAAGTTGGTAACACAGTTCTTCGGGGAATCTGGCTTCCCCCCATTGACTCTGCTTGTCAGAAAAGGTCGTAAAGAAGGATCACATGACCCCGGGACACTGCGACCGTCATAAGTACATGTCAGTTGCCAAGCGTGTGAACGCTGTTCACGTGGATGCTGCAACCGTCGTGCAAAAAACGTTCACAAGGTCCCTTTTTTCAGTGCCCTTGTAACTTCGGTCATTAAACAAACGGTCGTAAGTTGAGGAATACTTGTGTTCCTAGGTGAGATTGTCAGGGTTAGGGCTAGAATCAAAAACAGTACAGAAAAGGTGAAATGCTACTGATGAATTGTGTACGCTACATTAACTGTAGGATTTCCTGGATCAATCTTAAATACGCTTCTAAGGTTTAATTCGCTGTTTATAAAAATAAATGGTCTGTTTGGACAGCCAGCCGAGATCGAAATTTCCAGTAACAGCTCCTGGAAAGAGATGAATTCTTCTTTTGTGGACAGTTGCGATGTCTCACGAGATTCAAGTCATGCGGTACAAGGTCGACCAGAGAGGTTACATGCGTTGTGCCACTTCACAGGATTCTCTGACAACGTTGGGACACCCCAACAAATATAGTATGATTAAAGTTGCTCCTCAAGGCATAGGAACAGCTGGGTGGGATCAAACTTCAAATAAGGCAGCATGCTGTTCCCCATCTGACGTCACTGGAAACCCGTAATGTCCATCCGTTAGTTTCCTCCCTGCTCGTGTTTGTCTTCCCGTCGGTATAAATAGAACCTAGAACAGCATTGTGGACTTCAACTCCCAGAATTCCCCATCTAGTACAACTGGCTGGGGAATTCTGGGAGTTGAAGTCCACCCCTCTGAAAGTTGCCAAGGGTGAGGAACACTCAATTAGGTGATGCTTCTGGTCCCTTCCAACTCGTCTCATTCATGGATGTCTGGGGAATTTTGGGAGTTGAAGTCCACCCATCTTAAAGTTGCCAAGGATGAGGAACACAGCTCTATAGAGTCTTCTCTCCTAGGCTTAGGATGGGGATAGGGAAAAGATTTGGTCAAACCAGTCAAATTCACCCCGTTCGTCTCTGCCTTACTGACGCCAGCATTCGCGACAGAAGCTGAACAAATGCCACGGGACCCTAATCCTGCTTTTGTTAGGGACGTGAAGCCCCAGAGAATGAATGTGTTGAATAAAGAGCTGCTCTGAAGCCCGGGTCACATCCTGGCCTGGAACAAAACAGACCCTTCTCTGTCTGTTTGGTATAGCTTAGATTTTGTGAAAAGTTTTTTTTTTTTCCCCCTGACACAGTGGCTTGCAAATGTGCTAAGTTGATAAGCCCACTTATTTTTTGCTGACGTGTTCAACAGAAGAGCCGGGAGCTGGTCTGGCCTTATCAAAGCCCTGAGGCCTCTTGTAAAACACGCTGGAGATCCACAAAGTCCACCACTTCACGGGTTCGGCAAGACAATTTTGCTCCTCAGGGCTTTGAAGGGATTTTCCAGTGGCCCAACAAGTCAAGTCGAGGCAGTGGGGCTTCCCAACCAGACAAACCAGCCAATCTTTCAACCTGTTAAGATTTTCCAATTAATTCCTTTCGATTCCTCCCAGCAATGAACGGGGTGACCACACAGCTCATAAATTAAAACATTAGAACATCCACAATAAAGCCCAAAAGGCTGCAACGCTTGTCGTGGTTTGCACTTTAGTTCCAAAATGTGTACGTCACATTTTGGTTGACCCTTTGCTTGGTTGACCGTTTGGCAATTCGTCCAAAATTCTTCCGAGCACACGGCTTGGGATGCCCATGAACGATACTGGGGGGTTATCATGGGGGGGGCAGAGAGACCCCAGACCTGAGACCCATCTCTCCAGTCACAACACGTGCAATTTGCTTCCAAAATTCTCAGCCAGAGCTGGCTGGGCCACTCGGGGGATTAAAGTTGGCCCATTTGAGCCGTGGTAGCGCAGTCATTAGAATATGATATTGCAGTCTTAACTCTGCCTACTGCCAGGAGTTCGATCCTGACTGGCTCAAGGTTGACTCGGCCTTCTGTCCTTCCAAGGACGGTAAAATGAGGACTCAGATTGTTGGGGGCAACAAGCTGATTCTGTAACCGCTTAGAGAGGGCTGTAAAGCACTGTGAAGCGGTATATAAGTCTTAAGCGCTATGGCTATGTTTATGGTGCCAGCGACGGGCTCCCAAGGGGCCAACTGAAGAGAAGAGCAGAGGGGGAGGCCTGTCCCCGCAACCCTCTTGAGTAACTCTGCCCTTTCTTCCAACAGGGTCTCCTTATCTGCCACGGACTGTTATATTGTTCACGAAATCTACAACGGGGAGAATGCCCAGGACCAGTTTGAATACGAGCTGGAGCAAGCTTTGGAAGCCCAGTACAAGTACATTGTGATTGAGCCCACCCGCATCGGGGACGAGACGGCCCGCTGGATCACGGTGGGGAACTGCCTGCACAAGACGGCGGTGCTGGCGGGCACGGCTTGCCTCTTCACCCCTCTGGCTCTCCCCGTGGATTATTCCCACTACATCTCTCTGCCGGCCGGCGTGCTCAGCGTGGCCTGCTGCACCCTCTACGGGATCTCTTGGCAGTTTGACCCCTGCTGCAAGTACCAGGTGGAGTACAACGCCTATAAACTCTCCCGCCTGCCCTTGCACACGCTGACCACCTCCACCCCCGTCGTGCTAGTGAGGAAGGACGATCTGCACAGGAAGAGACTGCACAACACGATAGCCCTGGCGGCCCTGGTGTACTGTGTAAAGAAGGTGTACGAACTCTACGCCGTATGATCGCGGCCGAGACAGGGGGCAAACTCAGTCCGAACCAATAAGGTGTATTAAGGACTCCTACAGGAACATTCGACTTTTTTTCCTCTTGAAGTGGTGCCTGGAAAGCCGTTTTGGTTTAACCCGATTATTATTATTGTTGCTTTGGTTATTATTTTCTTTTTCTTTTTTTCGGGGTGGGGGGAAAAGAAACAATCACACGTCACAGATGCATCAAGGGATGTCTGTTATTTTTGTACGCCCCAGACCTAGATCTGGAACAGGATGAGCAAGGAAGACGGTCCTGGGGTCTGGTTGAAAGCAAAACAATACAGGGGGTTGGGTAGATTTGGGTTCTTCCACCCACCCACCCACCCCCCTTTGGGAAAAACCTTAAGTATCTCGTTTCATTGTATTCTACAGAACCAGCTCAAAGATATCACTGACCTTTCATTAAAGGATGACAATTTCAAAGGCGTCCCTTTTCTTTTGGCGCTAAAAGATCGGGTGGAAAACTCTCCAGCTGGGTGGGCCCAATTTTAAAGGACAGATTGGGTGAAAGCTCACTCTTTAGGTGTTGGGATCTAGAACTAGGAATCGGACCCCTTCAAGTTTCTCTTCCGTAGGGCAATTTGACCAAATGTCGAGATCCTGTGGCTTTCTGGATACAACAGCTGCTCTCTTGAGGAAGCCCACCTCTTTGCTATAGCTTCTTTCCACGCAACAACAGTTAGGGATTACATATTTTCTTCAAGCCTTTAGCCCAGCAGTTTTCTTCAAAATGAAAAGACAGAAAAACGGTGATTAAATAATTCTAGTTTCTCTCTGGCACAGTCACGGATATTCCCGAAGTAAAACACACTGGATGGTTCTGCTATTTATAGCCCTAAACCTATTTTCCCCAGAATGTGAGAAGCAAATGTTAAAAAAAGGGGTCAGGATCATCTTGCTGAGGAGCAGAGAAAAGCGGCAGATGGGCGATGGGAAGGATTTAACATTGAAATAATTGGCATTTTCGGGATGGCCAACTTGATTTGGAGGCTTGGCTGTCGAAAACGGCTAAGCTTAA